TGAAGAAATGGAAGAGGAAGAAAGGAAAGGTAACTTACTACAACCATATCACTACATGTATAGTCGTTAAATGCTTCATGATGTAGGAGATGAGTTTGGATCGTCATTCTCGGACTCTGATGATGAAGAGGACGATATTCCGCTGAAGCTGAGTTCGAGTCATGTGCATTTTGTACATAACGAGGAAGTCTTTTCGATGTACCGGTCAGTGAACTTCGTTAAACTTACATTTTTTGAAAGATCTTTTGGATGATAACTGGAGCCATGTTTAGATGTCTGTTACGACCAGGCGAAACGACTGTCAACTTGGAAATGTTTGCAAGACCCTTAGATTGTGCAATATTTTTATTAGCTGGTGGTCACTTTGCTGCTGGTATATTCAAGAAGTAAGTAATATTAGTTTCTGCACTTTTACGCGAAACTTTTTTCCTTTTTTTGATGTCGTTCAAATTTTTGAGTTATCTTGCTCAACTGACATGCACAATTTTTTACTATCAGAATGACTTTTGAGACAGGAGTAAAGTAAATTGGGATAAATGTAGCATAAAATGTTTGCAATGGGGCTTATAATTCTCCAAACGTTGGTTTATATCTTCTGGCGGCGCAGAAAATATTCTAGGAGGTAGCGCGAGAGAAAAATCAGGCAGGAAAGAGCGTAGCTGGGGTTAGCAGCCAGACTCGCCCCTTCCGGTCACAGCCATTTGAGGGTTTTTTTAACTTTTGAGAAACTGTTGTGGTAAGATTAGTTTAAGAAATTAAGACATGTTATCATTTTAATTGGTTTGCATCCTACTTGAAATCTGGAGACTTAGTCCTGGGTGAGGCCCTCCCGCTCTCCTCTGCGTTCGCCACCTTATCTCCTCTATTTCATTGCGTTGTTAGTTCTTATCCTACATGGAAGTTTTTTTTCAAATTTTTTTTCGCAAATTCTCCCATTACTACTGAATTATGACCAATATCTTGTGGTGAATTCAACAAATTTAGTGATAAAATGGTTGCACATAAAGCATTTCATCGCTACGTGGTCCGAGCTAAGCAAGGTGGTGTCCAGTCAGCCAATGATAATGCAAAGGGTCCTGCGCGATCAGCAGGAGCTGCGCTGAGAAGGTTAATTAGCTATTGTACTGGACTTTTTCTCTGTACCTCGTTTATCTAGTTACTGTATAGCCAGTTGTCACAAATAGTCACGTCCTTGATGATTAAGAATTAGCAAAAACTTCAGGTACAATGAACGAGCCCTGTGCGAAGACATAATGAATTTATTGAAAATGTGGACGGAGCTTTTAGCGGCCACCCCGCTGATTTTCATTCGGTGTGCAAGCTATCAGAAAGTCATATTTCATGAGATTGACGAAGGTGGATTTAGCAGAAGAGATCCTAGATTGAGGTAAATAGATTTAGTTTTTGCCGTTTTGTGTCGATGCAAACCTTTCTAGAACAATACCATTTGAAACGAAGCGCCCCTTACTTGATGAAGTGCGAAGAGTATGGGAACGACTGGGATCTGTAACATGTCAAGGCACAGTAGCTGAATTTACGGCAGAGAGGCTAATGAAAAAGCAAAGATTGAAAACATTGATGAAGAAGAAACGAACGGAGGAGCAGACGTTTTTTCACATAGACAAAGGGCATGATAAAAGCCCATCAAAGGATAAAAAAGTATGCTTCTAATTCTTGAGATCTCATAGTTGCCAGATTTTTTTTATAGAGGATGCAACTTTTTCAGACTGATCACCTGAGGCCTATGCCGCCAATTGAAGTTAAGGCAAAGGAAGAAGATAGCTGGCCCAATATAGACAAAAATACCAGGAGAGAATTGTACGCTATGATAAAGGACAACAATGAGGAAGCCCTTAGTGCACTGGTGGATGGTCTTAATGAGATGGAGAAAAGGGAGGTGCGTCAGTCTTCCGGAGTTGCAGTTGAACATGTCC